TTTGAACAGTAGTGTATAGGCACACAAATCTAAACTAAAGCAATGCAAAAACTCAATTACTTAGCTGAAGTGTTAGAAAAAAGTTCAAATATTAATCTTGAAGTGTTCAAATTCATTAAATGTAACGATACAGAATTTAGACAGATATTTTCTAACTGTAATACTTCATAGCATTCAAAATTCCAAATATAGTATTCCAACTACATGGACAAATGTACACGTTTAAGAAATTGTAATTAAAACAAAAATTCCCAATCACAATTGTGAATTTTGTCCTTCTCAATGGTTTCTCTACTGTTAAAATGACAACACCATCAGCCTGTCTCTAAGGATTCAACTGCATGACTTTATTTTGGTACTGAAGGGGATAATCTAATTTCAGCAGAAAATACATGTCTTTAGGCTTCGGCAAGCTGTGAATGCAGACGTTGTGTTTGAGTTGTTATGTTTGCATGTGTGTCGTCCTGTGTGTCAAATCGATGTGTTGCTAATCAGAACCAGCATAAAATGAATCACAAAGCTGACCTAATTACCTCAGCAGTTATCTAATAACCAGCCCAATGCTAAGGACGCATTACTGTGATCAAATCGTGTGCAATCGCATCAAAATGACCCCCTTTATTCTAATGCCTTCATAATCCACTTAATTCAATTTAGTTTTTGAGACAGTTTATATTTTTAAAATAATTGCCACTTGTCTCGTTTCCCCTCCAAGCGGTCATCGTGTGGATATCTGTGTTTTCTGTTTACACTGTCTTGTTTGTCTGAACATGAGCATTTAAATGTGATATTGGACTATATTAAGGGAATAGCTCTAAAATAAGTAGGAAAACAAATAACAACCTTAAGGAAAAAGACGGTAATAAACATGACCCTTGTGACCAAGCATTTTTTCCCCTCAGTACTTGCTGGCCAGTTTGAGTGCATTTGTTGTGTGGTGTCAGCTAAAGTATACTTATTAATACCTGAAGCATGGCCATGTTGTCGCCCACAAATGTGACAAAGACGTCGTAGTCACACTTCAGAGATGGAATGTGGTTCCTCTTCAGGAACTCGAGCTGCGTCGGAGGACGCTTCGGGAACGCCCTTCAGCGTGACCGGCTCTGAACCTCGTGTGTAATCAGACCAATAGATGGGCGAGACGTCACGGGCGGGTGACGTAATGACCAGGAAGCTATAAAAGCACGTGCGGTGAGACCAGCGTCAGCTTTCTGTCATTCAACAAGCGCTCTGTGTGTGTGTCAGTCTGATATCTGTTTGTGAGTCTTATTTAGTGTCGTCTGTCAAGCGAATCTAAAAACAAGACAAAACCAGACACCTAAGGCGAGGGCAGGCAGCGTTCAGGCTGTGTGTTCCTCCCTGCCCGTGTTACTTTACGGGTGGGGATACACACAGTTTGTTTGCTGTCTGCTTGGGAGGGCTCTCTTTGAGGAGAGAGCCTTCACTAGCATTCCTCGCGGTGCCGGCCCCGCTTTCGCTGAGGCGGAGCGGCGGCTGTGCTCGAGGGTTTCGCATATGGATCCGGTGGAGGGAATGTAGACGGGCGCGTCCCTATCTACTTCCTTAACCACCAGATCCAGCGCCCGCTCTCGGGGTTCGGAAGCCCGCGCTGCGGTACTTCCCCCCCGGGGAGAGGGCGCAACGCTCCGCCTGTCTTTCTCCGAGGAGATTGATACGGAGGGCGTCGAAGAGCTCGCCAGTTGCACAAACATCAGTTACACAAGCATATTATGCCTGATATTATAATGAGCAGCATCAATGGGGAGCGGAGGGCGGCGGATTGTGCTTTTCCAGCTGTTAAGCACTCCGCTCTCGCCGGGCACGCTCCGAGGAGTGTGTCCGTGCCTGTGATCTTGCGATTGCGGTCCCGCTGCTGCTGAGGCACGGCGGCGACTGAGATCGCGGTGATCGCACATGATCTGGTGGACGGGTTGGGGACGGCTCGTCCTATCTCCACCCGTGTTCCCTAGATCTAGAGCTCGTTCTCGAGGCTTGGAAACCCGCGCTGCGGTTCTTCCCCCTCTGAGAGAGAGCTTGCTGATGCGGC